AGTAGCATGAAAGAAAGTCGAAAAATATAATAAAATTTAATCAAAGAAGATTTGCTGATATTTTTTACATACGTGTATTCTAGTGAGAAATGATACTTTTTATGAACAATGGTATGTTAATCATAAAAGATGCAATAAAACAGGTCAATACCCGACATCCCAAACCATATAGTGCTTAAAGGGACAGACACCAAGATTTTGAGAATAAATCGCTTCTTGTTGAACCTACCTGTGGGCAATGAAAACTTTTAAGACATAAATTGATATAAAGAAAGCCTTAATCAATACCGCAGAAAGTAACCATATTCACTGTCCCAGCCTATTCAACCTCGGTAGTCAGCTGTCTTGGAAAAGCTATTATGCATGATGACAAGGTGTGAAAAACGTCTCTTTATTTTGCAAATTTTAATAGCAAATAAAAGAAAATACATTGAGAGATGGAAATACTTGAATTCATATTTATATAGCCAATTAACTTTTTTCAACACCCCCCTTTTCTGTTACGTTCAAATTTCAAGAACCCCCTAATTTGTGCCTAAAAATTTTACCCCCCCCCTAATTTTTTCCTCCACCCCCACCCACTCCAACTCAAATGGCCGGTCTCTAAATTAGCTGGTGACAGACGGTAATGACAACCAACTGAGTGGAACCTACTGCCTGCCTACAACTAACTCTCATCAATCAAATACAAACAACTAATAAAATACAAAAAAGCAAGTCTCCATCTGGCGTCGAGACCACCCTACTCCCACCAAGGAGGTCATATGGAGTATTATCATCCGGGGAAGTTGTCACCCAGATCCAAAGATCCTCACAAGATGACGACTCTACATTAAATCCGCCAGCAAGTGTGATGTCTGAGAAATGCAGATCCACCAACATATTTCATTGTTTATTAATGACTTGGTAAAATATATGAAACAAAATTGCGGCTGTAGCATTTTCATTAGAGAAGATATCTGTGACCTTTATGCAATTTGGTTTGCTGATGACGTAGCCGCAGCATCGGAAACGGCTGCTACATTGCAGAACCAAATCTATGCAGTTCGTGACTTTACCGTGGAAACAGGAATAAATGTAAATTTGGACAAATCTAAAATAATGGGATTTCGGAGTGGTGGGTCCCTTAGACATTATGAGTGGACAGTTCAGGGTCGTGAAATCCTATAAAGGTATCAAACAAGGAAGCACCCTTTCTCCTCACCTATATAGCGTACCACGGAACAGTCATAAAGAGAGGACAATGAGGAACCTACAGTAACAATCAGAGGGAAGCGAATGTCAGATCTATGTTTTGCAAATGACCCTGTGCTCATTGAGAACAGAAAAGAGAAAAACGGCGAGCTCGTTGAAAAGTGTACATCGTAAAAAGAAAAATGCAGCTTAGCATGGATGAAGAGAAGAAAAGAAATCAATGGTACAAGGAGGTGGGGTTAGTGCAGCAAGGCGTGGAACGCATTCGTACATGACGTGCTTGTAGGTCGAATAATCACGACTGAGTCTTTTGTTCTGCACGCTAGCCGTGGTTTAAGAATGATCTACTGGGGAGATCTCTGGAACGAATACTGACAGAGCTGAATGAGATATCTTGCGTGCTCATTACCTTCAGTATCAGTCATTGGCACTTTATTCAGGTGAGCACAAACAAACACGTGTGATAGGCTTGACTCGTGTATGCCGGGAGGACGTGTTTTTGCTGCGTAGGGTGATCAAGACAAAACAAAGTGAAAAAAGAACATTCAAAAGACACTGACGACAGGGGAGTTTCAATACAAGAGAATACATTGACTGCCGTAATACTTAGAAAATGGGAATATGTGTTTTAACCCATGGTATCTTCCATGGAATGTGTCTAACAATCATTGGCATTTTGATATATACATGTGCTGTCTCGATTTGGTTGGAACCTCCCAACAGAAGTATAGCTATCCAGAGTTTATTGCAAAAGCCTCCGCCTTTTAAGACAACAAAGGAATCCGACCGGGACAAGATCCATGGAAATCGAGATGATGAACACGAGTGGGTTAAAAATGGTTTTCCTGAAAGGGAACAACTAGAACGTGCCTGGTCGCGTTACATTCCTCATGCTTATAGCCCTCAGGCCGATATTACAAGTACACGTTGTTTCATAAACAGAAATGCAAGTTACAATTATAAGGTCAACGTGGTATTATCTAACACTCACATGTTGCATATTTTTATAGAAGAGAGAAAAGAGGTTTCAGCGAAAAACGGCTTGTTGTCGTCCGGCGGAAGTAATTTCCGAATTGAGGTAATAGGAAATGAATACATGGTGTGTCCGGTGAGAGATTTCTTTAATGGAACCTACGTCGCATATTGTGATGTTCTTTCTAGTATACAGGGCACAATATACTTAGATTACACGGACTTTGAAGCGTTCAGACATCATGAAATTGATGGAGCGTATCCTTGTAGAATCCACAAGAAAATCTACTTGTTTCATTATGTTTTCTCCAACAAGTCAAAGGAAGAGATGGATAGCTCAGAAAGAAGAAACTGCACTAAAACAAGCATTGCGGAATACCTGGATGGACGCTGGTGGAATATTCACGGGGTGTGGAAATGGGGAACTAAAAACAGGTGCATTTTTGAGTTTATGAGTGAGGCAGAACTTTGGAAATGTTACAATAGGAAAAGTACTCTCAGAATATTTGGAGATTCACACCTTAGATTTCTTAGTAATTACTTGAACGAGTTATTGGCCAAATATGTGCATGTTTCGTCGTTAAAAGAAAATAAAATGGGTTTCAATTCATGGCAACTGCACCTGAACCGAAAGGAGATAGTAGGTCTGAGCAATATAATATACAATTGGACTGCCTATGCTTCCGAGTGTGAAAAAGCAATCAGTTCAATTTCTTCCCGATTTTACAAAAATTTTGCCACCAAAGATGATGTTATATTAATGGGATTTGGGATACACCATATGGCGAATATAAACGAGAGTGCCTACAATCTTGTAAAACATGTTATTCCCCATTTTGTGGAGTTCCTAGGCGTTCTGCGGGAAAACCCCAACACTGCAAACATCCGTCTTATATATCTTAATATTCTGCCGAGAGTTTATGGCGAAAGGGATGGAAATGATTACATGGTTGCAGCGGTCAACGGAATCATCAAAGAGAAGCTGGTAAAATATGGTGTAGAAGTAATAGACGGTTTCAATATTCTCAACCCAATGAAATGGACCCAATGTGACGGTGCACATTATTTATGTCCAATAGGGAACGACCCAAGACATTTATCAGGCCATACTGGAATGACAATGGCCCAACTTTTATTTCGAGTTATCTGTGATTATTAACACACACACACCGGTACTTACTACCCCAATGTCATAGCATCATCTCTCTAATAAAAACAAATGCTTGTCGTCGCCATCGGTTTTTGAGTTCATGTATTTGATGTTTGGCCATAAAGTTAGGATAGTTGGCATATATATATGATGACAAAACCCTACAAGGACGAGGCCGTGATTGCTTGTATTTTTGTTTTCATCACAGCAATAGAAGAATCAACAAAGATGAGCCCATATTTCTTGTTGTTCACCATGATTGTATTTTTATCGACGTGAATTTGAAACAATACACTTTTACTGTTAAGCAGCAGACTGTAGACATTCACTTTTAGAAAAAGGCTGGAATTTAAAAAAAAATAGTTTCATTTTCATCTACTTGTTTTATTCCCGATCGATCTATCGATCTATACGGTATGTTTAACCATTGTACACAAAAATAAGACCGGTTTAATCACAGTAATGTTAAGGCCATACTGGAATGACAATGGCCCACCTTATGTTCAGAACCAAGTGCGATTAGCAGCATGCGTTGGCCACCCTGGATTTCACTGCATATTCATTATCGACATTGGTCTCCTATGGTATCATACTTATGATAACCATCCGCTTGAGTTAGGGTATCTCCCTTATGTACTATTATAGCAGTATGTATTTAAAGCTGCACTTTCGGAAACCAAATTCTCCTCATCCTGTTATTGCATGGTCAACGTCTGACTTATTGGGATACATAAGCAAGAATGCTTTGGGTGAGATCAGATTGCGTTGATATTTGCCTTCACGCTTAATATAAGGCCTATATAAGGCTTAATCAAGGTCAGAGTGAAAACTAGGTGAAAACGTTATTTTTTTATCACTCTATTATCCACTGTTATCCATTTATAGTGGCATTTACAGTAGTAGGTGGTGTATAATGTAGTCAGACAGCTAAGGGAACATATGTGTTTTGGTGGTGTTGGTGAACAATAAATCTTTTCAATAAAGGACTCATCGTGCTCGTTACTATAGCGATTAACAACCACGTTTACAGAAAATGACGTTGCAGAAACCTGTATATGCTGCATCTTGCTCAGATTAATAAAAAATAAATGTTCCTTTGTGTTTGCTTCCGAAATTTTAAGTTTGGAAATGCACTGAAAATAGAAAAGTAATTAAATGTGATTTCACGGAACTGTTCTACTTGGAAAAGTTTTCTCAGAATGGTTGGAGATTCACAACAACGATTTCTGAACAATATAACCAAAGACGGCTGTGGTTTCTGCACCTAATCACTCACCCGACAACGCCCTTGTGCATGTGCGTTATCACGGTAGAGTCTGTGGTATCCCTGAAGTCACCTTTTGCAAATGAAGGAAGACATCTTTTGAGAATGTTACGGTAAGGGGTCCAGGGGCACCGGTGTAACGTAACAGAGTCCCCCATTTCTACAGGTAAGCCGCGCCCTAGATTTGGACCCAATTAGGTCAGGATAACCCTAACCATAAAAACTATATGGAGGGCGGACTTTCGGTTACATGGGCCCTCAGTTTCGTTACACCGGAACCTGCTCAACCAGCACTGGAATCAATGTGGTTTAGCTGAATCAAGATGGTCCATCGATGGTCAAAAGGGGGCTCGTAGACACAGGACTCGTCTGGTGAGTGATTTGTTGGATATGCACAATGTTCTGAGGATAGGACAACCACCTTTGAGCCCTGATATGTTTTTCTGCCTTAATCCTTGGTCCCACCAGTTAGGTTGGATAATATTTCGCATCTATGGTAGAATTCTTTAATTTTTATTGCATTCATACCGAAGTCAAATTCAGTGAATGTGCACTGCTAAGCAAATAAGGGCGCACTTATATCACTTATGGAGAATTACTATGGCGTAACTAAAAGTTTACAGATAATGACAAAGTCGGAATACACATATGCTGTATATCTGTTCAGAATTATATTCCTTCTGAGTGCCAACGAGATTAAAAATGTGTAAAAAAAAAATTATATGATATTATATTATAAAATAGAAAGACATTGATTTGCTATATTTCGTTTCATTATGTCCTGGGAAGAAGAAATAAATTATTATTATTATTATTAAGAATCTACTTCTAAGTAATGAATTTTGGGTAACAAAAGTTTCGTGACTCTTCGTAATGACGCAAGCTGTTGACCCAAGTTTCCATATTACGATCTGCACGCACATTTCATGACCTCCCTTTTTGACCTCTTTTGTTCTCTTAAACGGAACTATTTAAGTCCTGCCAGAGTCTGTGTGTTTTGCCAGTGACGTGAGTTCATAGCAACTTCAGATCCGGGAAGAAGAGAATGCTGCTGATGTAAGTATAGGTTAAAAGCATGTGGATATTTGAAGGTGTGCACATTAACGAGTTACTGGACCTTATTACGCCGATGATTGCATTTCTTTGATTATGATTTTGGTTTTTTATTTCTTTCTCATTTGGCAAGACGCAGCAACAGAGGTCGAACGTTAATAACATTTTTAAGGGTCCCATCATCCTAATTTGCTATTCAGGACCCACAAGTCTGTAGGGTGAGAGAGTTAGCAGTTTGTGTATCTGCTTATGTAATTCAGTTAAGTCGTCCTCACTAACACAGACACTGCCTTTTGTTTGTGGCCAACCAGAACAATTATACTCAGAAAGACCTGTTTTTTATGCTTCTGACCTATATTAAGTTTCCTTATTTATATTAGGATTGCGCTCTGTTCAGTGCGGTGACTCAACTTTGACTTTTATCGTACGTTGTTCAAGTTGTAAGTTTACTAGCTTGATCTTGACACACCGTACGTGACATGAATCATAAGCAGAAAACTGCGCACTTAATTTATTCCCGTTTCAGGAAGAAAATCAACCCCAATGGTTTGTGAATTACAGTTGCGAGTTTAGGCAATCCTTTACCATGTCAATTCACAGCGAAAATTTTGTGACTTGCACTTAAAGGTCGTCATCCAATGTGTATAACTGAGGCTCGTAAGGGGACATTTTTATACCCGGAATCTGAAGCAACCTACTACGTTCCAATCCATTTCTGACTATTATCAAAGAAAGATGGATTACAAGACCTTACAGGAAATTGCACTTCTGTTGGACCCCACAGACGTGTTTGGGAACGATTGGAGAATGGTGGCGCATAGAATGGGATTCACCTTCCTCGAAATCCGCAAACTGGAGCGAGAAGCTGAACCTACAAAAAGTGTTCTGCTTAGCTATAAACACAAGTCTGGTAAAGCAGACGACGAATTATTAGTGGATTTGTGTAAGATATGCTCGGAAATAGGTCGCCAAGACGTCGTTGAGGCGATTAACATAGACACAGATGTAGAAGCCCCACTGGAGTCGGATATAAAATCGAGACAGAAGGAATTTCTTATAAAATGTAAGTAATGCGTACGTTGGAAATGTATCAGCGTATGTGTTTTTACTAGTGCATGTTAAAAAGCTTTTTAAACTACAGTTATATTTTAAGTGAATATTTGTGTTAGAAATGATTTACTGTCCATTTTTAGGCCATGAATACATACCGTGGTACTAGTAGTGAAATTATCTTACGCCAAGGGAAAGTAAATCAAATATTTTAAAACATTTTAAAACAGAAGTCACAAAGAAAAAAAAAGAAAAACACAGGAAGGGTTAAACTGAATAAACAAAAACCTAGTCGTTGTGATATTAGATTCACATTAAAATTGTCGTGTTTTAGATAGATGCACAAGCGAGCAATTATACGTCCGAACCATAAACGAATGCACGCGATGCATGAGAGACTATTTCACAAAGCTGTGTGGAATTAAAACGCGCCAACTGCAGGCCTTCCTAGAGAAACCGCAGAACCTGAGCGTTCTTAAGGTATTGAGGAACAACAATGTTTTAACTGAAAAGCAATTCTCTTTACTTTGCCCAAGCTCGGGGAGCATTAACATACATGATATGGACTTGTCCCTGCTGTACATCCTTGTTAAAAACATAGCACTAAAGGACGCGGATTGGTCAACACTGTCCAATCAAGACGATCCTAAGCCGGAACACGACGTGGTCAGAATAAAAGACCTTTGCCACAGATTATCTGCTGTGAGCCCAAACAACATTCAGGTGGAAAAGTTTGAGACTATTTTTAATGATCTCAGTGACCCTTTGCGTCGCCTTGGTGGAAACCCCGAATATATTCTACAAACGGAATGTAGTACTGGAGATAAAGAGGACGCGAAGGCAACTGCTAAGCGACGAAGGGCACGTCTTTACGTGGCCATCACTGCAGTACTAGTCTCAACAACAGTCGCTGTTATTTTGGCTGTCTCATTCATCGTTCATTCAAAAGAAACGCCACCTTACGACCACACCCCTACCTCTGTGTGTGAGAAGGTCACACCTGAAAAAATCGCCTTCAGGTGGAAAGGTAATTTTGTGCTGTCAGCTCATTGAAAGTCTTGTTTATTTTTATTATCGAGCTACTTTTACTTTTTACTGCTGTCTCTGTGTGCAATATTGATATTTGATTTTGAAATCGTTTTGTTCCCTATTCTTGTTTGGTATTTCAAGCAAAAACGAATTTAATGCCGTTTGACACGGAATATATCTTAACCGCTGGTATCCCTGGGACATGTAAGATAAATAAACCCACTTGTAAAAAAACAATTCATTTGAAAACTTTATTCTGTAGGTAAACAAGTCGAATTTCCTTTCGTTAGTCGAGATGGCTGGGGCGCTAAAGCTCCTCTTGGGGAGTACCCGTACCGATCACAACCCGTCCCTTACGCAGTCATAGCTCATACGGCAGGGGCCCGCTGTAACGGCACTAGCTATTGCTGCATGGAAGTCAAAGGAACACAGAAATACCACATGAAGGCTCGAGGTATTTTAAACATTTATTATGGGCGTAGATGAAAAGTTTTTTGCAAATGCTTTTATTTTTTTTTTTTTTGCTTGTGATATAAAATTGGTTGATTGTTTTGACTAATTTTAAGAACTAATTTTGTTCGACATATTACACAGCTGTTCAATTAATCAAATGGAAAGTTGCTTGTACCTCTTGAATTTGCCAGACGCGTTATTTAACTATACACAATTTTCACCACTTTGCAAAGATTTTTTCTCCGCTTTGATCAGCTCAATTCCTAACCGTTTAAAATGTATTTTTTTCTTGAAAGCACTTTTGTTTATTTGACTTTGCTTGTTGATCAGGAAGTCGCCCCCCCCCCCCCCCCCAACTCCACCAAAAAGAAAAATACGCTAGATGAAATTTTAAATTACAGAGTACATAACTCATCCTAGGTCCGGTTTGAACAATGACCTAGACAATAGTTACGAGGGTTTTCTGTATTTAGGTCATCGGCTGGAATCGCGTGTAAAATGCCTTCTCTTTCTAGATCACTGGAATCGTGTGTAACAGTGTAAATGCCGTTTCAATGGCTATTTCAGGCTGGGATGACATAGGGTACAACTTCATGGTCGGTGGAGATGGAGTGGTATATGAAGGGACAGGATGGGACCAAATAGGAAGACATACAAGAGGGTGAATATCTAGCTGAGTGCCCGTCTCCCAGACGACTTGAATATAAGCAATTCGTAACATATTTGATCAGTTTTTGCTTTTAAGCTATTAAAATATTAATAAACTTCACAGAAAGAAGCGTTTCAAGTGCAGCTTGGTGTTTGCATTGGCACAGTTTTCTGATAGCGCATACTAAATATTTTGGAATTTATAAGAAATTTAATTCACATCAGTCAAATTTTCAAATATTTGGTAAAATATTTTGAACTACAGCTATTATGTCTACAATGTTTGCCAGCGGTCTGAGATACAAACGACTAGTAGTTTTGACGTTGAAATTAAAAAAAAACGTAATATGAAATCACCAGTCAGTTTAGTAGCTATTGTCTTGATTTAATTTCCGATATTTATATTTCTACATTTAGATTCATATAAATAGTTCTTGGGGTTCTCTGGGGTCTACTGGTCCAACTGACACTGACTCGATAACTGTAAGGTGCAGACAGCTGCAAATATAGATTTACAATAAAGAGAATTTTTATCGATATTAGGTGGAATTACGATAGCATAGGCGTTGCTTTCACGGGCAACTTTGAAACGAGTTTGCCGCCAAGTTCCTCAATCTTAGCTGCTCGTCGCCTACTGCAGTATGGGGCGTATTTAGGAAAATTAACCCAGGATTATGTCATATACGCTCACTGCCAGGTGTCCGGGTTTGTAAGTCCTGGCGCTGCCATGTACGCTGAGATAAGGACCTGGGACCATTGGGTAACATTTCTTGATTTTTTTTTCCAAATCAGAATCAATTTGCCAATAAGACGACGAGATTTTTCTTCATCATTGGATAGTTTCAAGTACTATATGAAAATAATGCTTTATCTCCCACATGTCTATTCAACGTTTCATTTTCACAATGGCTATCTTCGTATATATGCACGAAGGAACATACTTGCATCGGCTTTGTTTTGTGTGGTTGTTTGCTGGCAAAATATTTTAAAAAGTATACAAACACTTGATGAAATTGTCAGAATAGTTGGTCGTTCAAGAAGAAAAAAGTGGATGAAAGTGTCAACTGAATAAGGGAGTCTTGATATTTTAAAAAATGATTTTTCCTTGACAGAGGTCAGCTCTCCTTTTCAACAATATCTAGCACTGTAATGCGAGTTGTATTTATTAATAAGTTACAGCATTTCACATATGCAAAAACGAATCCGTTTCCAGTCAAAGAAGGTCATTTTGTTGGCTGAATATATAATAATTTTAACTAAGAATATCAACCTTAAAACTGCTGCCTTTAGAGCTCATATTTCATTTTATACCTTGCTCGCTTTATTTCAGCAAATACGAAATAAAAACGGCGCATGCGCCTAGATGATGCCTGCAGTGGCGTGACAGAAGTTCTGACAACCACCTCAACGAGATGACTCGGATCTTTATAGCAAAAAACACACTGCACAGTATAATATGATGTAAATTTTATTTGGGTTGATTCTTTCCGTTGACATTTGCATATTTTTTGTTTTTGTAAGTGTGAAATTCAAGTATGGATTGGAACATATATTTCTTACGAGTATGAATGCCTTAATTACTTCTAAAGTTATTAATTACATTTCAAGTTCCATGTCAATGTCCTAATAGAATTTATTACTTTCATGCAATAATTGTTTAGAATTAAAGATAAATACTCGTTTAGATAACAGTAAGAACACACGTTTAGTGAAGATTCGTATTCTCAACTGTTATGAATTTATCAAATAAAGGATTTTGTTTTTTACAATGCTTTATTCAGTCTTTATTTTTTCTAACGTTGACACATTGCAAACATTCACGCTCACACACACACATACACACACACACACACACACACTGGCGCGCGCTAGAATTGATGCTAATAAACAATGCTTTAAAATTGTCCTTTTATGTACACGTTAATGTTTTTGGCGTGCCCCAAACATGGTTGGCGTAAATAAAATTTTCTTTCATTTTCAATACCGGTGCTTGCACATACACGTACCGGGGGTACATGTATAGACTTTGTCATAAATGTTGTCCCATCTCTATTTCCATTTTATTTTATTTATTTTATCATTTTATTTTAAATGACCACCTCACACCCGTAAACCATTCTGAACATTGTTTTACCATATTTAACATGAGCCAGTCTGTATACTATGATACGGCCGCACCTATACGTATATATGCGTCATCCAACCCACTGCCCAGAATAAGTGATGTCCGCATTGATACCCACGGCTATTTGGTTTGAAAGTCGCAAGTTACAAAACAGTGTCATGCCTTGACCAACAACACAGTAAGAACATATTCCGTAATGTCACAAGATATTCTTTACTTTATTTATTTATTTATTTATTTATTTTATTTATTTATTTTATGGTACAAGCATGATGGACATAAATTCTCTTCCCTCGCTTGGTGACGAACATAAAGTTCGCTATTAATCTTTTAATTTACAACGAAAGGTGACAGCTATTTAATATGTAGACCGTTGGTCATAATAGTCGAACACAAGATCTGTAAGATAAGATCATTTCATAATATAATCCATGATTTTCAAAAAGAATGTCTGAGTCTCGTGAAAGTTAAATATATCAAACCCATGTTTGTGTGAATACAGCGCGCAATCTAGCATTTTTTTATGCTCTGCCTCACCACTGTTTGGAGCATAGGCAACATAAATTTCATGTTTATCGCATCAATATATATACAGCTCGAGCATAATACATAACTCTACATATATCCTTGAAGACGAGGCTTCTTTGTCCTTAGGCGTAACACACGTGACGACAGTAACACACAGAGTCATATGACACAGTGGACAAACTTCTTCACGGACAATTTAGTCCTTAATCAGTCACTCTTTATCTTAATTTGGACACACCTGTGCGAACTGAAGAAATTTGTTGGTGTCGATCGGTGGGTGTTCCACAAAACTGGCGGCGTCGTTTTCCTGAAAGTCCTGGTAAAACTGGGTCTACAGCAGCTTAGGACAGCTTACAAGTGCGCGACGATATGAAGACGACGGTGTTTGCTCATCTTGGGTTTTGTTATCGTTAGGTGATAACTTCAAAGAAAATCAGGAACATGGTATCTTTACAGAAAATGCCAAGACGTCGGAAACTTGTGTCAATTTCAACGTTTTTCATAATCTGGATTTTAAGTCTTCACGTCCAAGGAATATACGCACGTAAGACTTTTTCTTTTCCCTTGCCTTTGTTTGTTTCTTTTTTATAAGAAATGAAGAGAGATCAAGAATTAGGCAAAGCATTTGCAATACTTATTATCTAAAGGCTACATAAGATTTTCTTATTTTAGTACGTCTTTAGTAAAATATTAAAAAGTGAAGTAAATAAAGTTTATGAAATTGTACAGAAGTGAAATATAATGGCTTAACACAAGCAACTAATTTCCTTTTTCATATTATCACACTCATTTGATTTATTTCCGGCCGACAGTACCAATCACTATCTGACACCGATTTGCAAAGACAAACTGACAGTTAACTTTTGCAAATTTTGCCCCCGTACATTGTATGTGTATGCTCTACAAGTGTCGACTTTTTTCAGTAGTATTAAGATAAATATTTTATATTTATAAAAGAATCGGGGAAAATATTTTTCGAATGTTAGCTTTTGCAAATTATCGAACCTTAAGTGTTTTTATCGTTTTCAGCTAAGCGCAAGCCCAAGCCAAAACCTCCTCGGGACCCTCCAACGACAACTCCTTCTACGACATTTCCTGCACCAACGACTCCTCTGGCAACTACAACAACGACTCCACGGGTGACTACAACAACGACTCCTCTGGTGACTACTACGACGACTCCTCTGGCGACTACAACAACTACTCCTCTGGTGACTACAACGACTCCTCTGGCGACTACAACAACGACTCCTCTGGCGACTACTACGAGGACTCCTCTGGCGACTACAACAACAACTCCACTGGTGACTACAACAACAACTCCTCTGGTGACTACAACAACTACTCCTCTGGTGACTACAACTACTCCTCTGGTGTCTACTACAACTTCTCTGGCGACTACAACAATAACTACTCTGGTGACAAGTACCACGACTCCTCCAACGACTATTTCAACGACTCCTTTGGCAATAACTACAAGGCCTCTACTGGTAACAACTATATCGACTCCTGTGTTGACTACTTCAACGACTCCTCTGGCGGCTACTTCAACGAACCCTCTAGAGACTAGTGCAAGTTACCCGGCAGCTCACACAACAATGCCGCCACCGACAACAATTCATTTAGCCAACTTTACAACAATGGATCCTTTGATCACTAATTCAGCCTCGACCCTTTGGAAAGATACTTCAACATCGACTCTCTTGAAGACTTCTGCGGCCCCTTTGACGGTCACTGAATCCCCTGTAACGAACCCAACCACAGCTACAATTCAGCCCACAACAGTGACAATGAACATACATACTACTCCTATCACGACTATTCTTGCAAATTCTGTCCAAAATGAAGCAACGACAACTTCAAAAACGATTCCCACGACTTCCAGTGTTAATCTGGAAACAACTCCCAAAATTACTCCTACGCCATTTGCATTCACTGAGGCAACGCAAACTATGGATACAACAGTGCGGCCAGGGGACACAACAGTAGGGCCAGGAGACACAACAGTAGGGGACACAACAGTGGAGCCAGGGTACACAACAGTGAGGCCAGGCGTCACAACATTGGAGTCAGGGGACACAAAAATAGGTTCAGGGGGCACGGCAGTGAGACCAGGGGACACAGCAGTGGGGGGCACAACAGTAGGGCCAGGGGAAACAACAGTAGAGCCAGGGAACATAGAAGTTAAACCCAGTGCACCAACAGGGCAGAGTGAACAGAATACGCAACCCACATCGACAGAAAAATCTCCTAAAGACGGAATACATGGGGGGACAGACGAATCTACGAATAACGGCGGTTCTGCTGACTCCTTCTCTCATGACGGATCAACCGGATCTTCATCTGGTGGTAGTCTCTCTCTGGACGGATTGCCAGGTATTGAATATCCGGATGGTACACAATCCGACGGTTCGATAGATATTGCTTCCAATGAAGATCCGTCGGGAAAGACAACTCAGAAAGGAGATGGAGACAGTTCGTCAACCACAGCGGCGTGGGGCGTCAACAAAATAAGAACACCCGACCTTGAACCAGCGAATGATACAAGTGACGGGAAAGGTAATGGTTTCTACTATGAAGTGATTTACATTAGTTTTGGGCCAATCTTTTTGCCATTGTATGGTATTGATTGGGATACTTACTGAGTGGTACTTAAAAAACACAAATTGCCTTTAATTGGCACGCGAATTAAAATATAATGGATACTATATTCGTGAAAGCCAATTACATGTGGTCTTTGAAAATCATGTTTTAATTGTTTTTCATGTATTTTATGCAGATGAAGGCGGTGAAAAAGTTGGCAACGGTGCGATCTCTACCGGCGTTGTGACAGGAGTAGTTGTGGGGCTGCTTTTCGCTGCCCTCCTCATTCTTTCTACAGCTCTATTCATAGTGTGCTTGAAAAAGCAGAAGTAAGTAAAAAGAGCGCGGTCATTACCTATAACTTCCTCATACCATTACCGCAATATATTCATAATATCTGGTATGATATTTACACTGGTCAAAGTATTCCATCTATCCAAATTTTGGTTAAGGACAAATTGTCGGTCCCTTAGCCTTTTTCCTTGCACCGATATGAATTTCCGTTCATCCACCAGTTTAGACCATTGACAATTATAATAAATTATCATATTTCATTTTATTACATGGCCAAGTTTTATTCTTTTTTAACGTTTATAGTTCTCTTTGATTCCCTTAGAATATGAAGATATTTATTTAAGTTTAACAGCCAGTAAATACCTTCTATACAAAGTTGCACGGTGATAATTTCATGAAACACATAACACAGGGGGAAGGTCGGCAACAATGGAGGTGTCCCTAGGGTGACTCAGTGCGTTTTAATCTTAACTCAATCTCTTCACGACATCCACTATACCCGCAAGGTATTGACAGTCACAATAAATAAATAAATAATATACTGAGTATATAAATCAGCTTACATGAATCACGGCCCAAGGCCATTTCATGCTGAATCTCTACGAGAAAGGCATCACAAGGTTTCGACCGCTCATCTTCCGCCGAACAATTAAAATCAATTAAAATGGGGTGTGGCGAGCTGAATGTTAGATGCACTTTTTGGTTTGTCACAAATATTTTATTTTTCTTTTCTGATGCTTTGTTTTTGGTTTTTTATGCTAAGTCATGTAAATCGAATTGTTATTTGTATTTATATTTCTTATTGCGCGAATAACGGTCTTTATGCTGCAAGACGTTTCCACAAGATAATTTCAAAGTATAAAAAAAAACATTGTTCAACCACAGGAGGTCATTCATTAAAATGTTCTGGTAATCAAAATACAAATTTTACTTGGCCTCCCAACATTGCTAAAGTAAGTTGCCTTGGGGTAGGGAAATAATTCCCGTCACAGAAACGAAGACTGAAGTGTCAGTCTGCTCCTCCCACCGCTGGAGGGAGCTACTGTATCTGGATGCTGACGTCATTTGTTCTTTTCGCACAGTTTCCCACAGTACAGAAATTTGAACAAAATTAGCCAGAGAAATATTTCTGAATATCTGTTGAAAATGCTCTGTTGCCCTGTTAAAGGATATGAAGAACTTATGTAGACCCCGCTGAACGAACATTCCTTGGTTCAAGTTAATTCTATGTCGGTTTTATTTACTTTTTTAATAAGTGAGTTACGCTTAATGTATTTAATTCTTTTACAGAATACGATTGCCGGAAAGTTACAGCACCAAAAGGACAGAAACTCTACAGGTAAGTGTGCTGGCAGCAAATAGCATCAGAAAATGCTCATCGTTTGCTGTGGGTTTTATTTTTTCTCGGAGCAAATGCTTCTGAAAAAAAAAACAACATGCCTAGCACATTTCTGTTTAGAAAAAAATCGATACTGCAATCTTATTTATCGATCACCCTTCAAATATATTGATCATATATAGTTTTTTAATCAAAGTTTTCTTGCATCCATTTCATCTCAGAACAATCCAGTTTATAAGGGCGTTTTACCAACAATCGCCGTCACCGACGGGGCCTCTGCTTCGCCGGACTTCACTAACAGTACGTCGAACGTCTACATCGACAGTGATGCCCTGCAGCAGCAGCGACCCCCAAATTTCACGGGACAGAGCTGGAACAGCGAATTCAGCTTCTTTGAGGGCTCGTCTTGTCACTTGAACAACCACCCGTCAACGACTTACCTGGCACCAACAGACATTGATCCAGAGCGCGTGTCGAACCTTTATGCATCAATCGACGACTCCCGCGTCTCAGTGCGCAGCCAGGTCCTTGCCAGCGCCCCGCCCCTGGATGAGAGTAACACGGACTTCGACGACGCTGGCGGGTACTATGATCCGATTGATGCCCGCGGCGCTGCCAGAAGCCCTACAGCTGGCGATGCTCAGGATAACATATATTACAACTCTTCTGCTTTCTCCCCGACTTACGTGAACCAGCTTGGCACGCACAATTGCAACACGCATGTTGGAGAAAACTGCGATTATCTGGAACTTATGACCACGCCCAACGAGGGGGAACGAACGTCCACGATACAGCACCATTGCGCACCTGGCGGCGAAGAGGGTCACGTGTACGCGTTGCCTCGCAACAATGCGCCCCTCAGCGAATCAGGATACAGCAACAACAGCAAAGCACTTGATTGTTCGTCTCATTTTGCAACTCGAAGTGGCAGCAATGTTTATGAAATTGTTGAGTTTCGAAATTGATAAAAAAATTATTATTCATTTAAAAAATCAATACAAAACAAAGTTGCTTTGGGTGCAGCTTAATTTGGAAATTACCGAACACGCTTCATGAAAACATTTTATAAGTCATATTTATTGTAATGAGTTCAAAAATCAGTGATGCCTTCCCACTGATAAACAGTGGATAAACTCATCGATCAATTGATTTTGACTAAAACTTGTACACGTCTGATGATTATCAAGAGTGCACAGCACCAAACTGAGTTACTTCACCAAAGTTATTTGAAAATACATTTAAATAATATAGTGAATTCATATATGAATAATCATAATGGGATAATGAAAAACGAGGAGGGTTGGTCACAAGAATTATTTTAAGTGTTATTTTAATGTTTAGCTCGTCAAATTTGCAGCCGTGCACATGGCTGGGCCAAGCTGAAAAACAGTCATCTATTTAAATCCATCATATCTCTCAAATTCGTGTTTTGAATTTCAAATAATTTATGGTTCCCCTTTTCAGAATATGCAGTGTTTTCACCGACGTAACATTTCATTACGCAAAGTACATATTTTGGCGGGGCACATATAAAGAGCAGGAATAACTTGGGCACCTTAACCTTTGAAAAATTTTACCTGTATGCCATTTGCAGCAAGGATATAATAAATTATGTGAACATTGGATATTATCTCAGTTATGCTACACTTTACGTACTATCATCTAAAATACTTTTTTCAATCATCTTGCGCGGATAATAAATGGAGAGCATTTTGAGTTTATGACAGTAGTATATATGGTCAGCGAGATTCTGGAACACATTTAGACAGGAATTCACCAAGTTTTATTGAATATTCTTTTGGTAAAATGCATACCACGCGAATGACACAAGCCGTCAGCCTTGCTTGATCTTGCTTCGATTTACGAAGTCATCTATCCAAGTTAACTGAAATGTGGTCTAAGCAAGGCCTATTACCTGGAGTCTTTATGTGAAGGGGGTCTTTGGTCTATGGTTTTGAAATAACAGTTCATTCCTTTCACTCACTTGGGGTTGTATAGGTCAATGACAAGAACGCATTTATATCGGTAACACATTATTTTATAACTGGAACATGTGGGATTAGACTCAAAAATGTCCCAGTAAAAAGCCTTATCGAGTAGCTGAGAAATAACAAGCCCATTATTTCATAAATAATTTATTGTATCGCCCGACTACATATATTTTGACATAATATCAGGGCCATATCCTCCGGGGGGCAGCTGCCCCCCTGGGATTTAGAATTTTCCACACTGGTAGGGGGACACCCCCTCCCCCCTCGGGGGCTTCGCCCCCTCGTGTCCGCTTACTGCCCCCCCTGCCATTTTGCTCAGGCTACGGCCCTGAATATGAATTAAAATGTCTTAATATATCAATGTCAATTTTTCCAAATACGCATTGAATTCAGTATAAAGTACAACGTACCTGCATATTAAACATGGGGGTTCGATAGATATATGTCGATAGATTAGTCCTACAATCAACATAGAATTCCTTATATAAATGACCCATTTAAGGGAATGACTTGCAAAAGCTTTTCGCAAGGCATGGAGAAATATCAACATGGAAAAACAAACTACCTGAATAAGGTTATTCTAACGGTAATTGAAAGAATGGCATGCGTCTGGTTATTGCACATACACATTATGGCAAACTTTGATCATAACAAATAGTTTTCTTAAACCTAACAGACCTAAGAAGAAAGTGCAAACCAGGAAGTGGGGAGCCCAAGCAAGGCATGACAAAGACAACCACTGCACATACCTAAGTCAAATGAAAATGTAAATTTATATACTTTACTACCAGACTTAAAACCGCATCAAGAATGTCTGGTCTACCAGGAAGTATCACCTGAGGAAGTGCAACCCCCTCCCCCCCCCCAAAAAAAAAATAAATAAATAAATAAATAAAAATAAAAAAAAGGTAAGCAAGATTTGGTGGACAGCATAAAGGACTTTTGGACCAGCTTAACGTCAGAAAAGAAGAAATGGTTGCTATGAAAGTATAGGGACAGCAGATTAATCACTATAGAAATACAATTATCAGTGCTGGTTATACATAATTATGTATGCAGTTGAATTTTAAAAAAAAGTGTAAAATGGGACTAAAGCTAGCCTTTAAGTTAATTAGGAGAACAATTGAGAGCAAGTAACCAAACTAAGAAAACTTTAAAATAACCCAGGTTTGGAGATGAGAACCTTAAACAGTACTTCAGACTTTGAAGAAGTTGGTTGAAAAAGTACAATCAGAAGATGTAAAGACAGACAGTGCTGATTAGTGTCAGCTCAACTAACACACTGTTTAAGATGCCTAGTTTATTTTGCCATGAAACAAAGAGAAGACATTATCAGGGAAGTAATGAAAAACACAGACAGCACACACCACATAGATAACACAAATAATTTTACAAAAATAATTTTGCAAAGGTTGAAAATGGGCCTGGTGAAGGGATCTGTTACTTGTATTCTCCATTATCCCCAAACAAGTTACAGTAATCAGTGATCACCAGCAGTCTATTTTCACATTCCATGTGCAACTACCCATTAAAGTTCTAAATGTATTCTACATAATTTCTTACACACAGGCTTCAAGATTGTGTCCTAATTATAGAAACATCCAAGAGCAAGGTAATGTTTACCAAATTAATAATAATTTGCTCATATGCATACCTATTTCAACACAGTTCTGAAGAATGGTACTCATGTATCACATTTTTATACATGCCATAGTATCATAATGCAAAATGTGTCTAGAAAAAATCAGCTTTGCTGCATCTAAAATACTTATCACAATTTCTTTGACTCTAATGTATTTCAAAATAATCCACTATTACTGGGGATCAACATCCTTCATACAATCCTTGTTAAAAACATTCCTTAGGCTTATGCACCAATAGCAATTTCTCTATTACTACAATTTTCATAATTTACATTCAACCGTCTATCAATATATAATATGACCAAGTAAATCTGTGGTTTAAAAAATTCTTGCAAGACCCTATAGACTTTCACAATAAAAAATTTACAATTAATTATTATACTTTAGTTTTATTGGCATGGATTCACCCTAGTATCTCTACATCTGAATTTAATTCCATCTGCCAATTATGCGTACTTCAATATAGCAATCTTAAAATACACCATCAATGCCAATTTGCTAAAAAATAGTACAATTAATTCCATTTTTACTTTTTCTCAAAAGATAGCTTAATTTTTAAAAATAGGGGGAAACCCAGTGTATATTAAAGTACTAAGTAAGAAGATGTAACATTTTGCAACAAAGTGACTTTTTCGTTTACCAAGTGTGTTCATTACTTGCAAATACATCACAGCAATTTTGGCATGGTGGTCGTCTTGGTTGGGAATGCTTCTAGACTCTCTTCCGCATGTGTCCAGTTGTAGAAATTCTCTCTGTACCACAATACTGAAAAAGGAACTAAAATGTAAAATATACAATATATGTAATATATTTTACTAGAAAACTGTTGCCCATAACAAGTATTGCTTAGTGTAATAAAATCCATAACTATTTTTATCATTGGTATCATTGGTATTGGATGGTATTATACTGGTTGTGCCCAAAGGGAGAAAAAGAGTCACTTACTTTCATTTAGGGTGTGGGGCTAAGTATCTTTATATATCCCAAGCTACTAACATAAATGAATTTCACTAGAAAAGCTTAAGACTTTGTTAGCCTTTTGTAAAGTGCAATTTACAGCTTCCCCTTTCTGGGTGTCTGTGTTCAGTTTTGTTGTTACAATTGCTCAGCCAGTAGGAAATGTTTTACACTTAATCATACGGCTCAGGAGGTTCGTCAGGCACATGTTAGTATAGTCGTCAAGGGGGAATTATTTAGTGGTTTCTGTCCCAAGATGTCAAAGCTCATCTGATGAAACTCTCCAATAACATTCCACTGCATATCAACCTTAACATGCCTCTGATCTCACCTTTCCTGCCCTCTCACCTGTGTTTTCTATGCCTTGTTCCCAGGTGACTCTTGGCTGCCAGCCGAGGTTGGCAATCTTAGAGGAGTCCATGATGTATCTGTAGTCGTTGAAAGGCCTGTCTTCCCCAAAATCCAGGTACCGCTGCATGCCCTCCTCTGTCGTGATGCCCTTCAGCTATATTAACAGAGAATTAGAAAATACTACAATTGATCTGAAAAAGTATAATTAAACTTGTATTTCCCATATAGGCTTGCCTGTATTTTCATACACTTCCTATTGTTTGAACTGCCGATTGTGGTATAAGTCAGTTACAACTGCTCTGCATCCACTGTATGCAACATACAAAAGCGTAATTATATCCTACTTGTGTTGTAACTAGTACGTATATGATACTCACTTTCTTTATAAGGTATTTTGCCAACCCTAAAATGCTCAGGTTGAAGTCTGTTCCGATATTGTAGATCTCACCTGGCTCCCCCTTGTGGAGGATGGTGTCAAATGCTTCTGCCACGTCTGTCACATACAGGAAGTTACGAATACTGTCACCTGAGCCATGTATACAGCTGAAGATGTAGAAGAGAAACGTAATGGAGATACTGATATGAATATGGGATATGCTTTAATTGTACAATGGCCTGTCAGTAGCTAGGAAGGAGCAATCATGTCCAACTCATTAATAAAATCTAATATGATTGTGTTATATTTGTGGAGGTAAAAAAAGAACTTAATTTCATTTGTCAAAATTTCCTTGAAGTCTATATAATTTCTCTCAACATTACTCGCTTGCATTATCTTCAGGACAGAAAATTTGGATTCTTTAGCTTTCATATCATATATTAAAGAGTTAATAATATATCTCTATTTTCTTGCAGTACTAACTTTTTAATCAAACAAGCATTCTGATACATAATCTAGGAGTCTTCTACCTACCATTTCTTGTCTCTGTCCAGCAGAGAAATAAACTTTGGAATGACCTGCAAGGAAATGCATGTAAAAATGTTTGAGACAAACTTCACAGAATACAGTGTTAAAATCATGTAACATTAACTTTCTAAAACAATCAGAGGATATGGCTGTTTTTCTCAGTGATGTGGCCCTTCATAGGTTAAAATGTGCAAATATGATGACCTTTCACAAACTTTGCTAAGTGTTAGAATAATATCAAATGTATTATGTACAGACCTAATTGGCTGTGTAATTGGCAGGTAATACTATGCTACATAGTTTGAATACCGAGGAATGGTCTAAGAGAAGATAATACGTACTGATCTTGGATACTGGTGGGGACCATAGACATTGTTGGACCTTGTAATTATCACAGGAAACTGCAAATAGGAGAGATTATCATATCATCACTCTTCAAACCCACACTGACATTTTTCTGAATTTAAAGTTAGTGTTTAAACAAACTTTTTATCATATACAAATTTTATGAATTGCTCACTAAATTTGTGGTAATATGATGTTCACTAAATTATATATTTAATATGTGAAAAGTTTTAATCAAGGAAAAAAACTTTATAAACATTCAAAATCATCCTAGAATTCATAAACTTTATTTACAGTGATTATGTACAGTCCATTTGTGATGGGAGCGATTAGAAGCTTGCCATGATCTCAGTTAACCACGAGATTATAAATACAAATTTCAATCTTCTCTACTGCCAAGTACATTATCAAACACACTCAGAAACTACCTGAACTTGAGCCGTCACAGTTGGATGCACATACACTGTATATGGGAGCAGCTTTACATTAATTATCAATATGCAGACAAAATGCCAAAAATGACAAGTCAGTAATGACAATATTTACATGAGCATGAACATATTAAGTAACCTTTCAATGAATTAATAAAATAAGAGCAGCTCCAGCTGGATATGCCTTACTTTGAATGACTCCCAATATGATCTCACCATGCACTCAGCAGCCGCCTTGCTGGCAGCATATGGGTTGGTCGGCTTGTAGTTGGATTTTTCTTTCAGTACCTGTAGGTGTCAGAGAAGAACCCCATCAACTGTGTTATGCACTAATTAGAATAAAGCAGTAATTGGCTGCATTCAGAAAAGTGGACTAACTAGTCTGAGGGTCAAATATGGCTGACCCACTTGAATACTTCCCCACAGGATATCTATTCAGTGTTTAATAACGGATAAGATGGCAAGTTTTTTAGTGGGTAGCCATATTGGACAATCAGACTAGTTAGTTCACTGTTCTGAATGTGGCCATTTTTTTCACTCAACACTTAATAATGAAGATACTGTTTACCTGAACTAATTTTGTTAATTGGAATATACAAAAGATTACATACTTAAACATGAGAAAAAAAACTTTTATCAAATCACCTTTTAGAGTGAGAATATTCTCTTTATCACATTAAAATGCCAGCATGTTTCTAAAAGCCACTAAAATGATACTTCTCGACAAATTGATCTAAGAAAGAGGTTTACAATGATGATTAATTTATAAAAACGTCTAACACATCACATTTTATAGGGGCATTTCAAGATTCGGCACTAAATTTCAGGACAGTATAATCTATCATCAGAGAGTATTCTTAACAACTACCTTTCAGAAAATTTGACAAGGAGTGTTTCATACTGCACTTGCCATAATATACTCATTTACAATGAAATACCAGAACTAGAGGATCAAAAAGGTATAAGTGCCTACTAGGTATGCACCACCAGCAGGGTTACACTATAAAAATTTATTTTATATGAGAAATTGATGACAAAAAAGTTACAGAATAAAAATGTTGCAAAATTTTTTTTCAGTTTGTGGCAATGTACCTCTGTGCTACTTCCTCCATAGACTTCATCTGTACTGACGTGGATAAATTTCTCCACTCTTGCCTCGTAAGCTGCGTTCACCAAAACATGGCTGCCATAGATGTTGGTGCGTGTGAAGTCAAGCGAATATATGAATGACATGTCTGGAAGAGTATGGAACAGGACAATCAGGCAAAACTTTTCTTCAACTTTTCAACTTTTTTTTTGAGGGGGTGAAAATGTTCAATTTTGAAAAATCTTATCTCCAAACTGCTTCAAATTTGCAAACAGGATATTGGTTTGCAAAATAAATACAATAAACAAACAGACGAATTTTAGCACACTTCTTTAATTTTAACAAATCAATTTTAAATCAATATTTAAACTAACGCATCTCAAGATGTAAATAAAAAAATAATGTCAAAGCATTATCCTTAGACTGTATAAAATTATTGTACTAAATACAAATACATGCTGTTTATATTAATTTATGAGCGTACCAACTTGTGATTCTGCAGCAAAGTGAAGAACTGTATCAATCCTTTCTTCTTGAAAGACATAGCGCATGAAGTCTGGTTCACAGATATCCCCCTGTAAACACAACATTTAAACAATCTCTGATCACTGACTCTTTTGCAACTACCCTGTGTACAGCAACTAAATCAACTCTTACTTAATAACTTAGTATACTCAGCTGCTTAAAATTCAACTCTGTTTTTCCACTTATTTCACACTGCTTATAATTACTTCATTAAACAGGTTTGCCTCTGCTGCATGTCTGCATGAACCAAAAAATCCCATCCTTTCAAACAATTTTAAAACTGAGGTAGCTTAATAAGCCAGAATATCTATTCTAATCAAAAACTTGGAATTGAAGCATAGCACAGGAATAAGACACCTAAGTCAATCAGTAGAGTGCATTTTTACTTACTTTAAAATTATCTCATCATAATTTCATTTATTTTTCCATTAACATTTAAAACTTCATATATATATATATATATAAGTGAGCACCTTACCTTTTTTGCTTGCTTTATGGTATTTTAATTTCTACATACCTGAATAAATTTATAATTTGACTTTCCTTTGATACTCTCCAAATTTTTCACACTGGCACAATAATCAAGCTAGAAAGACAGACCATGCTTTAATTATCTACAAAAATAACTGCTGTAATACTCACATTATACAGGAATAATTAAACAGTCAAGGATATGTATATATACATCATGTGAGGCACTGACCACTGTTTTGCTTCGTGTAAAAGTTAGGTATGCTTGTTTTAACATTGTTTAATATTTGAAAATATTCATAACAGTTTTGAAAAGAAAATGATAAGGTAATGTGGATTTAAACATCCTTACAACAACTCTACAATATTGCAGCAATACCCACCTTATCAAGGTTGACAATGTAGTAATCTGGATACCTTGTCACAAGAAGAATAACAGTGTGTGAACCTCTGCAAAATCAAAATTGAACAAAATTACAAATAAAGAAACAGCTTGTATGACATGATATATTGCCGTACATTACATTAAAAAACTAACATTTAATGCATTACAATGTGCTTTCTTAATTGTTCCACAAGCAATCATTTCTAAATCTGAAAAAAAAATGAGGAGATTAGAGATTCAGATTCTAACTTAGTTTTAAATCTAAACTCAATGCAGTGCTATCATCACAGACGGTGTATAAACAAATGTGGGAAATCCGGCTTACTGCACGCACTTGAGTTGTGCTAAATGGCCCGTCCCCTAAACCCTTGTTAAGCTGAATTTGAAAAAAATAAACAGATGTCCGCGTCACCTCAGCTTTGCCGACTGATGAATGAATGAATGAACGTGTCAATGTTTGCCTTTTTACCCCTATTAAACGAATATTTTCAAACACTCGAAGACGTAAAGACTATAAATGAGCTTACATGAAGCCCGCACCCCCAGTTACAAGAATCCTTTTCTTATATTTTTTGCAGTTGTTGCAGCACGAACACTCAACCGGAAGCTCTTCCATTGCTGACTGCTTCCTACGGAAAGGGGTAATCGAGGCAAGTACCCGCTTTCTTATTTTAACGACAATAACTTGGAAAAGCTGTAATAACTCTCATTTCAATAGTTCCATGTCCAATATAAATCATCATATTTGTCTTGGTTAATTATGTGCCAGTAGTTTAAATATGATTTTCAGTGCTTTGAATATTGACCTCGCTATGACCTCATTTTACGTCATTTCACGTGTCAACCATGGCCGGCAAGTTCAACGTGAAACTGAGCAGCAAGTACAGAGCATACCTGCAGTCTGTTTGAACGAGAAGCGGGAAATAGACTCGCTCATGCTGGCATGGTGAAGCCACGCAGACTTGCAGTATTTTGTGCAATATTGCTTTCATGCATCGTGCTTGCGGAGGGAAAGACATTCCGTGGAGTATGGACGACAAAATTGGCCAAAATCTCTGCGGGCCAGTATGTGGGGAGCTTCTGTTTTCGGGGTAAGTTATGCGGCCGATCGCGACGCAATTTAATTAAAAATTAAAAGTGTGCAAGAAATTAGGTAGCGGTGACTATACTCTTTGTAGTGAACCTTTTTATTTTCTTCCCCAGTGAGGGCAGTGACCATCCTGGCATAATCTATGCATTTCAAACTCAGATTCGTATACTGTTTATTTTGGACGTGCATCTGTCATCTGCTAAAATACATGTACAAAGTATGCATAGTGTTGTACTGGTGCGTCTGGTGATTAACAAGAATGATATGCAGCACATTTTGAGTTTGGTCTGCAAAATTTTATGTCAAAACATATTTATTACCAGTAATATAATAGAAATAAATATTACTGGTAATATAATAGAAATAAATATTACAAGTAATATTTATTTCTATTACAATTGTGCTTTGGGATAACCAGAATGGGGATTTCAAAACAATTAGGATTGGAAATAAAAATGATTTTGAAGTCACTGTCACCAAATGCAACATCATAGAAATAGCTGGCTCCACTCGTATTGAAAAAATGATGTAAAATGTATACTTTTTAAGTCATCAGTTCTCTGAAATTCATGTTTTTAGATAATTATTTTGGAGTTCCTTTTTAAAATAATTTTGAGTGAAATTTAACTTCATTTATATTATACTTATCAGTAGAATACTCATCTGAAACACCTATTTTGGCAACATACATGCATATATTTTAGCGAGACAAATGTCTTTGTTCATATAGTCTGGTTTGCATAATTAATAATCAAAAATGTATTAAAGCATACTGCAGTCTGCTCAAATAAGGGTTGATTATCGGCATGAATAATGAAGCTCACAAAGATAAATACGATCATCATTCAATTTTTTTAGTTCAGATTTTGTATTTCATATTTAATTTATATACAAATATTTTTTCTTTCATATCTTACCTGTCAGCAGGATAAAATAAACTGATTAGCATTTAATGTTTGTATGAAAAAAATTCATTGTAGTTTAATAGTAGATGTAAAGAACTTGGTACATATTGAACTAGGCCCTAATGAATAAGTACAAAAGTATATTTTTGTTAAAATCAAGCTGTTTTTATTTTCTGATCATGTATCTAGTCTTTTCCTTCATCGAAATAAGTCCCATTTTTGCAGAATCCACTAAATCCCATCTGGTAGTTTACCTATTTAGTCTGCATGCTTAATTGCAGCATTGAAAGTTATCAATAAGTCAGGATTTACCTGTATGTTGTTTGACAGAAAAGATGAAAATAATACTGTTATTTAGGATGTCATGAATTATTCAGTCAGTGGAAGATATGAGATAAGGTATAATCAACAAATCATTGTGAATCTTCTGGTCATGATTTTTAAAATCACACATGGACCATTAAATAAGTCCTAAGATTACCTTTGAACAAAATGTGCCTTCAATCCTGTGACTATTAATTATTAATTTAAAAACTGGCGATTGTTTCATGTTAAAATGGCTTAGTCTGAGTCATGTAACAATGAAATGAGCCTGCTTTTGCAGTCTATTTGTACCTTGGGCAAAGGTTACCTGTCCGTAATATTTGTTAGTTAACAGCCTATGTAAAAAGTAATGGACAAATGATGAAAAATTTTCAGGATAGGTCAGAAATGCACTGACTTAGAAATTAATTAGATTTGAATTTGATCCATTAACAGATCAATTCATAATGTTGTAATCAGAATTGAACTGTCTTGACAGAGATCCCTGCTCACTGAATGCATTTTTATTAATCTTGCATAAATTTTTAGTTTCTTTCCTGGCTGGAGAAGCACAGGATATTATTGACAGCCAGTAGGAGCTGCAAATATTGAAGACTCCTTGTCACAAAAATTATGAATATTTAAAACATCAGTGACTGTATATAGTGGATGATCACCCAGGCACTACTCAAGATCAACTCATCACTCAAATGTTCCCCATTGCCATCTATGAGACTCCAAGTTTGATTTTCACTCACCACATAATTTACACCTCAAAAACAACTGCAACATGTTGCATTGATGAACCAGAGAGTACATTTGAGATAGATCATTTAGCATGAAATAATTATGATGTTCCCAGTGCTCACTGATCTTGATGAGTTGCATATAACATTTTGTACATTAATATGCCTGCTTATTATATTTATTTATTTATTTGCATTATTTTAAAAAACTGCTTGTGTTCAATGGCAGTAATTTTTACGTAGAAACATTAGTCCCTTATATGCATATTTTTATGAAATATAAATCTTACATTTATTAATAATCTTTTTTCATATTTTTAGATGACACAGGCCAGCTTGAATACAACGTCAACAGCACTGTGGCAGGAGTTAGGCTTCTCTTGTACACAGATGCCACCTGGAGGATTGCAAAAGATCAGGCCTGTCTGAAGAAACTTAGCAATGCAAAAGAAGAGAGTTAGTATTGATATGTGACTAACAATTATCTGTTCTCTCTAAAAGATACTGATAATTTAATGCATTAGTTATTTAAACCAGTAGTTTTATTTTAACAATTAAGCAGTACTATGAAAGTTATAAACTGCCATCAGTAAGCTGCAACTGCACAGAATTTGTAGTATTTGATTTATGATTTTTCTTTTTTGTAATTTCAATTAAATTAAAGTTATTTACATTTTTAAAGATATTGTAATTTGAATGGTAGATGACATAGTTCATAGTTTGGTATTTACTCCCCAGTTTCCATCACCCGCACAAAGGGAAACCACATGGTCTCTCATTTTGCACAGCCCGTGATCTGGCACGTGGTCTTCGTAGATGAGTACACATGCAGCGACACGAGGCCCGTGGCAGGATTAGAGCAGCCCAATCACATCCTGTATGAGGTACAGATGTTGAACACAGACTCACTAGGCAATCCCACAAACCATTTTAGTGTGGAAGAAACAGGTATTTTACTTACTAACCTGACAACATTTGTCAGTTGAAATTTTGGCCATAATTTAAAAAATGGCCACATAAGTAAGCATGTGCCTGTCACTAAATTAATGCTTTGCTTTAGGGGAGATGAAGACAATGACTTGGCACAGGAAGATGAGATAGGATAATAAGATAAGATAAGAGTTTATTTAGCCAATTATAAAAATCGGAAATCATTTTCCTTATGGAGCAATATACAGAGTAAAATAATAGAATAATACAATAAAGAGCTACAATGAGAATGTGAATACCTACTAACATCTTAGAATTAGTCAGTCTGTTTGTCCACAAACTCTTTAAATTCTAAACTAATGCAATTCATGAGATAATATACATAACACACTTGCTTTGTATTACAGTCTTACCTGTCTTTTTTAGCATCCAACAGCACCTTGTCACAGCTAGTACTATCAGTTCAGTGCAATGAACAGCTAAGACAATCAACCTGTCACATCTAACACAACCAATCTCTGCGTTTCACACCTAACACAATTAAACTGCCTCATCTAATGCACTTGCATCTTTCAGGTCTCCTTGGCTTCTACCAGCTGTTGACACTGCTGTACTTTGTTTTGGCTTGTATCTATGCACCAAAGCTTCAGCAGATCCTCACTAAGGAAGGTCCCATGCATCTGGTGCTACAACTTCTCACAGCTGCCATGGTGCTACAGGCTGCGGGGGCCTTGTTAATGGTAGTGCATTTACAATAGTGAGTATTGAATTTCACCTGCTTCTCTCTCTCTCTCTCTCTCTCTCTCTCTCTCTCTCTCTCTCTCTCTCTCTCTCTCACACACACACACACACACACACACACACACACACA